TGGTGGCTTACGCCTGTAATCCCAGCACTTTGGGAGGCCGAGGCGGGTGGATCCCGAGGTCAAGAGATCGAGACCATCCTGGTCAACATGGTGAAACCCCGTCTCTACTAAAATTACAAAAAATTAGCTGGGCATGGTGGCACGGGCCTGTAATCCCAGCTACTCAGGAGGCTGAGGCAGGAGAATTGCTTGAACCCAGGAGGCGGAGGTTGCCGTGAGCCAAGATCGCGCCATCGCACTCCAGCCTGGGTAACAAGAGCAAAACTCCGTCTCAAAAAAAAAAAGACAAGGAACAAAAATGATTTGAAAATTCAGTCTTAGCTGGGCGCAGTGGCTCACACCTGTAATCCTAGCACTTTGAAGGCTGAGGTGGGCGGATCACCTGAGGTCGGGAGTTTGAGACCAGCCTGACCAACATGGAGAAACCCAGTCTTTACCAAAAATACAAAATCAGCCAGGCGTGGTGGCGCATGCCTGTAGTCCCGGCTAATTGGGAGGCTGAGGCAGGGGAATCGCTAGAACCTGGGAGGCAGAGGTTGCATTGAGCTGAGATCACGCCATTGCACTCCAGTCTGGGCAACAAGAGTGAAATTCCATCTCAAAAAAAAAAAAAAAATTCAGTCTTGTGTGCCAAATAGATTGGGAACTGGCCAAAGAAGACATTTATATATTGGGTTGGCTAAATAACCTACCAGAAAATAAGAAGACTCAAAAGATTTCCCTGTGAGGCTCAAAAAGAACAATAAGCCAGAGAAACTCTTGACAGACTTCTTGGATTCTGAGAAAGACAGCATTCCAAGAATCATCTGGCGCCTCAGAAAGACAGCAGAGACAGCTAAGTGTCCCAGAACAAAGGAAATTTACCTCTTGGAAAACATCTCTGGAAGCCACATAGCACAATTTTCTTCCAAACAAAAGAAGACAATCCCAAGCATGTGACAACTGTGAGATATTTAGAGTTAACATAAAGATCATCTCTAACTCTTCTTTAAGATCATACTTCATGTAAAACAAATATCAAAGAGATCCTTTTAAAACACAAGGCCAAAAGAGTGTGGTGGTTTCAAACATGGGTCTACAAACTCTTTAATACCTCTCCCTTCAAAAGGAGGAAGTTAATTCCCTCCCTTTAAGAGTGGGCTGGACCTAGTGACTCACTCTTAATGGGCAGAGTCCAGCAGAACTGATGGCAGGTCACTTCTGGGATTAAGCTATACAAGTACGGTGGCTTCCATCTCAGAGCATCTCAGAGTACTCCCTCAGATGATGTGCTCCTGGGAAAGCCAGCAGCCATGCTGTGAGCAGCAGTAGGGAGGCCCATATGGTTAACACTGAAGTCCCTGGCCAAGAGGAGCCGAAGCTTACAACAACCTGAGTAAGTTTAGCAGCAGATTCCCCAGGCCCAGGTTTGGTCTAGAATTGGCTACAGCCCTGGGCAACTCAGCTGAGCTGCTCCCAAGCCCTGACCCTCAGAAGTAGTGTGAGATAATACATATTTGTATTTTAAGCTGCCAAATTTTAGAGTGATTTGTTATACAACAATAGGTAATAAATACAAGTATACATTAGGGTACACTTTGGAATAACCTGTCATACAGCAATAAGTAACTAATACAATTATGCCCTAGGAAACTACCATGTGGAATCAAATATCAAAACGTACCAGGAATCAAAAAGCCCTCTTGTATGTAGAAACTACCTCCTGTAAAAGTGTGCTAAGTCACACGAGAGGCTGCATTGCAGACTGCAAAATGCCAGACAAATGTGCAGTAGATTATTATTCTGAATGATCTGCAGCCAGGCAGTGAGGCCTCTTTAAATATAAATAAATAAAAAAGTTTGCTCAGCAAGTTTTTTTTTTTTTTTTCAGACAGCTCTGCTTTGTCACCCAGGCCACAGTACAGTGGCGCAATCATAGTTCACTGCAGCCTTGACCTCCTAAGCTTAAGCAATCCTCCTGCCTCAGCCTCCCAAGTAGCTAGGATTACAGGGGCATGCCACCTCACTTAGCTAATTTATTTTTTATGTTTTATTTTTAGAGATGAGGTCTTGCCATATTGCCCAGGCAGGTCTTGAACTCCTGGGCTCAAGTAACACTTCTGCCTTGACCTCCCAAAGTGCTGAGATTTTAGGCATGAGCTGCCATTCCTAGCCTTGGCATGGATGTCTGACCTTAAAAATTAACATTATGTAAGAAACCTGTGTGACTAGACAGGAGTAGCAGGAGCGTTTCTTTAGGATGATGGAACAATTCTGTATCCTGATTGTGGTGTGGTTATATGCACCTACACATGTGATAAAATTTTAATGAGTGCAGGTAATCACGGGACAAACCTGCACAAGTTTAGTTAATGCTACTGTACCAATGTCAGTGTCATGGCTGTGATCATTTTGCCATGGTTATATGAAATATTATCATTACAGGAAGCTCAGGGAATTAGACAATTTACAAGTGCTCCTTGTACTTTGATATGGTTTAGCTGTGTCCCAACCCAAATTTCATCTTGAATTATAGCTCCCATAATCCCCATGTGTCATGGGACGGACCCAATGGGAGGTAAGAGAATCATGGGGGTGGAATTTTCCTGTGCTGTTCTCTAGATCTGATGGTTTCATAAAGGGCAGTTCCCACTGCACATGCTCTCTTGCCTGCCGCCATGTAAAACATGCCTTTGTTCCTCCTTTGCCTTCTACCAAGATTGTGAGGCCTCCCCAGCCATGTGAAACTGTGAGTCCATTAAACCTCTTTCCTTTATAAATTACTAACTCTTGGGTATATCCTTAGAGCAGAGTGAAAACGAATACATACTTTTTTTAAGCTTCTATGAGTCTAAAATTATTATAAAATAATTTTTTTTTAATTCAAAAAGCTAACCAATGATGTTAAAAGTCAGAGTAGCATTTACCTTTGGAGAGGAGGATGGGGGTATGGCCTGGGAGGGAGCCTGATGTGGTGATGATGTTCTATTTTTGGACCTGGGTAAAAGTTACATGGGTGGGTTCACTTTTTTACAATCCAAACCGTACCTTTTTCTGTATGCTTGTTACATATTTTAATATATGTGTACTATTTTTTAAATGTGTTCCCCAAAACACACGCAATAATTGCGAGTTAGTAAAAACAAATCTTTGAGCTGATATTTTTCTTTCATTAGCAAACAGTATTATATTTACCATCATAAAAACATATTTAATTTAGATGCAACTGTCACTTCCCAGAAGCTCATGCCAAATTATATACAAATGAAGAAACATTTTCCATTTGAGAGTCCCATTAGTATCTCCAAGTGACAAAAATAAAGGCAAATATTTCTGAAACAGATATGTTAAAAATATCTTACCATGACTGCAAGGGGCTTTTGCGCTGATCTTCAGACATCAACGTACGGATGTCAAGTTTACAGTGCCCTCCAATTTCACCACTCTGGAAAAAGTCCTCCTTAAATCTGGTGTATAACAAAACATTAAGTTGAGTTCAGAAAACTTCTTCATGACCCAAGCACACGGGTTGTAACTAAAGTGGATTACCAGTTTCCAAACTCAATTTTTAAAAAGAATTTAACTATCGATAATAGAAAATTTCAAAGGTATATGAAAGTAACCGAATCATATCAGGAACCTAATGTACCCACAACCCAACTTTGCAATACAATCAACTGGTGGCCTGAGTCATCTATCCCTCAGCCATTCCCCAACCCCTCTGCTATATTGTCAAAAACAAATTCAAGATATATCCCTTCTGCCAGGCTTGGTGGCTCACACCTATAATCCCAGCACTTTGGAAGGCTGAGGTAGAAGGATCACCTGAGCTCAAGAGTTTGAGACCAGCCTGGACAACATTAAGAGACCCCATTTCTTCAAAAATTAAAAAATTAGCTAAGCCTGGTGGTGTACTTCGGTAGTCCCAGCTACTTGAGAAGCTCAAGTGGGAGCATCACTTAGGTTTGGGAGCCCACAGCTGCAGTGAGCCATGATTATACCACTGCACTCCAGCCTGGGCAACAGAGCGAGACCCTGTCTCAGAAAAAAAAAAAAAAAAAAAAAAAAAAATCCCTGGATCTGAAAATATTTCAGAATTTCTATTAGATGTTAACATTAACCACTTAAATACCTGTCATGATTTCTCTTGATGTTTCTTAAATCAAGGTAAAGATTGGTTGCTCTGCAGTACTGAAGATAACGGGAACACACCAGACTTGAGTCACTCTGAAGTAAGGTTGAGCAAAAGAAAAAAATAACTCCCATTATTAACACAGCAAGAACTCACCCAGACTTGCTAGACATGTTGACAACATGCACACCCTCATGTTCAAACCACATGATGTGGTAAGGAAAGCTCTCCAAAGACTGCATCTGCTGAAGGATAGTTTCTCCTTCCCAGCAGACCCTGGCCAAGCATACTTCTGCCAGCTTCCCACTTTTAAGTTACTACAGAGAACTCCCAAATGCTCTGTCGCCTCAAATTTTAAAGCCAAGAGCTGTATGTGTGGCTCAGTTCAGTCCCCTTTAAAAAAAAAAAAAAAAAAAAAGCACCTAGAACCAGTATTACTACCCCCACAGCTATGTCAAAAAGCAGTTTCCAAAAGCAAGCCAAAAGAAACACGGAAGAATGCACACATAAGAGACATTAAAGGCAGGGAGGGAAGTTTGCCAGTTTTAATAAGGGTACTTTCTGCAAACCGTAAAGCTTGTGGGAGCCTCTGTCCCAACAGCAACATGAGGGCAATATTTCCAAAGCAACTGAAGAAAGTTTAGGAGTCAGCTGCCAGAGCCTGATTCTACTTCAACCAATCTGGGTTGTGCTGAGAGCTTCAAAAACTTTTATCTGCTCTGGGTTTTATTTATAGACTTAAATAACATTTTAATCATTTTTCCCAAAACTCCAAATGAACACGAAGCCTGCAGGGCGTTTTGGAGTCTGTAGTTGGTAAAAGATTGCAATGGACTAAATGTTTGTGTCTCTGCCAAATTCTTACGTTGAAATCCTAATCCCCAGGGTGATGATATTAGGAGGTGTGGGGTAGCCAGGAATTTGAGACATTAGGAGGCTGGGCTTTGAGGAGGTAATTAAGTTATAAGGGTAGAGCTTGCATGAATGATATTAATGCCCTTATAAAAGGGACTCCTGGGAACTCTCTTGCCCTCTTTTTTCCATGTGAGGAGATAATGAGAAGTCAGCAGTCTGCAACCTAGAAGAGGTTCCTCACTGGAACCAACACACTAGTACCCTATTCTCAGACTTCCAACCTCCAGAACAGTGAGAAATCCATTTCTATCCTAAGTGCTTACAACCCCATCAACCTTTTTTTTTTGAGACGGAGTTTCGCTCTTGTTACCCAGGCTGGAGTGCAATGGCGCGATCTCGGCTCACCGCAACCTCCACCGCCTGGGTTCAGGCAGTTCTCCTGCCTCAGCCTCCTGAGTAGCTGGGATTACAGGCACGCACCACCGTGCCCAGCTAATTTTTTGTAGTTTTAGTAGAGACAGGGTTTCACCGTGTTGACCAGGATGGTCTTGATCTCTTGACCTCGTGATCCACCCGCCTCGGCCTCCCAAAGTGCTGGGATTACAGGCTTGAGCCACCGCGCCCGGCCCCCCATCAACCTTTAAAAAATAACACTGAGCCCTTTGCTGGGAACCAGGCCCTGCCGCACTGAGCATTTTTATCTGTAGAACCTCATTTCTTCCTTGCCACATGCTACATAACAGGCATGGCTTTAAGGCAAAGGAAACAGAAACAAGGAAAGCCTAAGTACCTTGACCAAGACTCAGGATCTGAACCCTGTAGTTGAGAGCCTGCTCTTGTATTTACGACCTAAAACTGCCTCCTGACAATGTGTTTATCTGATCCACTGAGGTACAATACGGTATGCCTGAAAGTAAACTGAAAAAAAATCTGCATTTTAATCCTAGATGCATAATTAATTCTACAGGGTAGCTGTTCAGTCTTGGAGAAGTAGCTTAACTCCTCTGAGGACCCTGTTTTCCACACTGATAAAATGGCGTCAGTAGTATCTGCTCTATCTGCTATAATGCTTATGAGCATCAAACTAGATAACGCACAGAAAAGCTTTCTGCAAACTGTAAAGCTCTGGGCAAATATAGAGCAGTATGGTGGTGCTTTATCATCTGTCCCAAAGTATCTGAGAATGAATTTGTAAAGATGCAATTTATCAATTTCTCTTCCTTACCATATGTTTCGGGGGAAGATTCAAAACCTAAAATTATTCTGTCTTAAAATATGACTATTTGATACATGTGGGATAAGGAGGACAGGGTTTCCAAAGGAAAGAGAACAACCTATTTGGGGAAGTTACATAAAATTCTAAGCCATAACTAAGTGAGAGTGAGGAATTCCTTTCATAGTGACGTCTTTTTACATTAAATCTAAATGACAAATATTAAAAATCAATAATAAGAAGTAATAAAAATAAAAAAGCTTGGTCAGACACGGTGGCTCATGCCTATAATCCCAGCACTTTGGAAGGCTGAGGTGGGCAGATCAAGAGGTCAGGAGTTCAAGACTAGCCTGGCAACATAGCAAAACCCCGTCTCTACTAAAAATACAAAAATTAGCCAGAAGGGGTAGCATGCGCCTGTAATCCCAGCTACTCGGGAGCCTGAAGCGGGAGAATCTTTTGAACTGGGGAGGCAGAAGTTGCAGTGAGCCTGGGTCGTGCCACTGCACTCCAGCCTGGGCAACAGAGAGAGACTTTCATCTCAAAAATAAATAAAATTCAAATTTAAAAAATAAATTAATAAAAAATAAACAAGCTTCTTTAGTAAGGAGCAAAATACCCACCGTTTCCTTAGGCTGACAGAGCACATGCATCTCCTCCAGCCTCTCTCTGGCATATCCAAAGTCAGCCTGTTTCCAGAAAATGTCCTCAGCTGACTCAAGAGTGTCCGTCCTAGTTGCAAAGACAAATATTCTGTGTTTTTTTTCTTTTTACTTTTTTTGGACCTTGAATTTTCATTCTAAAGGTTAAAATGCTAGAAGTTCCTTATTACTTTAATTTTTTTTACAGTATACTATCAGAGTTTTTCCAAAACTATGCCTCGCTAAGTGAAGTTATCAAACTGTTATTCACAGAATAATTTCCTTATGAAAATATATAACAGACATGTATGAAGTTATCATCTGAAACTGAAGACAATGATGCATTCTTAATTACTGTATTTTCTTTACCGCATTAATATTGCATGTATTGGAAGTACTAATTATACTTATTTCTCCCAGGAAGAATCAAGAGGAAACCATTCATTTATTTTCTTAGTGTACACTGGGGGAAAAAATTTTCTACAGTCCTGGTTGTTTTCTCCCTATGGCAGAGGAAACTACAGATATTCCTATCCCAGTGTGAGACAGTCAAGTTGAATTCATGATTGTGTAAACAAATTAATATCTAAATGAATTAGGAAGAGGGTATTCCAAATGGAAACTCACCATCCCATGTCAACATAGCTGCAAACTGGGTAACCAAACCTGAACTCTGGTTTGCAGGATTTCTCATAACCCCAGCAGTACTTTAGATTTTCTAGGTGTTTCTAGAACATAAAACTTACATTGATTTCCCTTCTTCTGACATTTACAGAAGACTCTTAGATTTTTCCATTAGGAAAACAAATCATTACAGAACATTCACATTTACAATTTACAATATGTATTCGTATAATAATAAATTTAAAACTTAGTTAATTCTAAAAAGCACAGTCTCAAGGTTCTTAACAATCCTCCTTACTCATCACCCCCAGCACATCTGTCCCCTCACCAAAACTCTGGGCTTTACCTAAACTCTCAAAGACTACTTGAATTAGAATTTCTTGAGGTAGCTTAAGAAACTGCCTTTCTCAGTGAGCAGGCGGATTCTAAAATCAGTCCCTAAGAGACATATACATTGGAATTTGTGCTACCAAAGGACTCACATCTAAATTGAATGAATCAGCAACTTCAATCAGCAATCAAGATCAGCAGTGACCCCACAAGACCTGGACAACTCTGCCACCCTTGGGAACTACCCAGCTGCTGCTGGCCAAGGAGTTCAGAATGCTCTTCTACAAGGCCCCAGGAGCAATGCTGGTCTGATTCCCAAGTTTGCTTTTCCATATGCTTCCTGTGCCAGCACCATGGGAAAGGAAGTGTCTCACAATGCTCAGCTTTGATCTCTGAGGCCCTGTGAGATGTCTTAATGGGCTCCTATTTGAGACCTTTCCAACCCCTCTAAAACAGAAAGACAGCCACAGCAACAGGCTTAATTATGTGGAGACAGAAGCTGAGGTGTTATTACTGAAATTAAGTGCTAAGCGATCCTCTTAGCTGGTTAAGAAAGAAGAGGTGTGAAATTCTTTAGTTACTTTTAACAAGATGTTCTTTCCTGCATAAAATCTAATTGCTTCATTTACAGAGTTTACAAACAGTATTGGCTACTTTTTTAGAGTGATTTAGATTTTAAATTTCACTCTTATGAATGGGACATAATTTTAACCAGTTTACTCACCTAGAAGCATTAAATGAAATTGAAACAATTATTAACTTACACAGTGACAACCAGAAATTAGAATTCTACCTTCAGTTTCAGGTTATAAAGCAGAACCAGTAAGCCAGCCCACGTTGCATCCGCATAAAAATAAGGAGAGAAGAAATAATACCTACCTTATATGGACAGAGAGAGTCTTTCTTACAGACAGTGGCAATATGCCTATTGTTATGCAAAAAGAAGGGAATGTGCTCCTCTGGCAAGCGGATGCTGGCATAGTTATACAGAGGTTCGCCTGGAATGCTCTGAGTATTAGGTGGAGCTTCATTTTGGCCACTCAGTGGGACTTCATGAAGTAAGAGTCCAAAGACAAGCAGTATTAACATAGCAACCTGAAAACCTAGAGATCAATGCAAACAACTTTGTGAACAAATTTCCCTTAAAAGTCAAAAAAAAAAAAAAAGGTCAAAGGCTAAGTATAATTACAAAGCACTTTGCTATCCCACTGAGTAATATTCCTTTATTAAATTTTTTCTGAGCACTTTCCTGGTGCCAGGTACTGTGTTAGGAAATGGGTATACATAGGTGAACAAAACAAGAAAGAGCCTTGCTGTGACGGAGCCTTTAACCTAGTACAACAGCCAAAAATAAGCAATCAAATACATCAACAACTTCAGCTGATGACTGGGCCTGTGACTCAAACCAACTAGGGGCCAGCAAACTTTTTCTGTAAAGGACAAGCAGTAAGTATTTTCGGCTTTGCCAGACCTAAGATCTCTGTGGCAACGACACAAGAGTGCCTCTGTCCAGAAAGAAGCCATGGTCTATTGCAAAAGAATGGATGAGACTGTGTTCCAATGAAGCTTTTTATTTACAAAAATTATGGAACAGCTTGATAGGATCCAATTTAGTGATACCTGAAATAAAATAAGGTAATATGATAGACAACATAGCATGGTGGCTAAGAACCTGAATTTTTTTTTTTTTTTTTTTTTTTGAGACGGAGTTTCACTCTTGTTACCCAGGCTGGAGTGCAATGGCGCAATCTCGGCTCACCGCAACCTCCGCGTCCTGGGTTCAGGCAATTCTCCTGCCTCAGCCTCCTGAGTAGCTGGGATTACAGGCACGCGCTACCATGCCCAGCTGATTTTTTTGTATTTTTAGTAGAGACGGGGTTTCACCATGTGGACCAGGATGGTCTCGATCTCTTGACCTCGTGATCCACCCGCCTCGGCCTCCCAAAGTGCTGGGATTACAGGCGTGAGCCACCGCGCCCGGCCAAGAACCTGAATTTTTAAAGCTGAACCACCTGGATTTGAATCGCTGTCTGCAGCTTCCCAGCTGTAAGACCTTGAACAAGTTACTTAACCTTTCTGCATTTAACCTTTCCCATCTGTAAAATGGAAATAATAATAAACCTTCATCATAGAGCTATCATGAGTTAAATGAGTTACCTATTGGTAAAGTGTTCGGAAAAGTATCTGACACATACTAAATGCTACAGAAGTATTTATTAAATAAATGTTTAGGCCAGGCGCAGTGGCTCACGCCTGTAATCCCAGCAATTTGGGAGGCTGAGGCAGGCAGGCACAAGAGATCGAGACCATCCTGGCCAACATGGTGAAACCCTGACTCTACTAAAAATACAAAAATTAACTGGGTGTGGTGGTGCACACCTGTAGTCCCAGCTATTTGGGAGGCTGAGGCAGAATTGCTTCAATCTGGGAGGCAGAGTCTGCAGTGAGCCCACCACTGCACTCCAGCCTGGTGGCAGAGTGAGATTCTGTCTCAAAATAAATAAATAGACAAATGTTTAAAGCCATGTGGGGCGAGACAGAGCCTAAGTAACACTTGAACTGAGATCTGAATGATGAGGAGGCAGACAAGCATTGGTGAGAGAGCAAACGGAGTAGGATGGCTCTGAGCAAGTGTGTGTCTGTCGAATAAAAATTATAATCACAATCAAGGTGTGGGCACAATGTTCCAGGAGCTCTTCTAAATACCCAGGATACAACAATGAAGGTGCAGTCATGAACTAAACTCATTGCCCTTGTGAAGCTTACATGCTAGCAGGTCTAATAATAGCTAAGTCTTAGAAACTCCAGGAGTGATATGAAGCAGTCTGCCTCAAAGACTCTGCCCTTAAACTCTCCCCTGTCATGCCTTTACCTTGTGAACAGTGACAATGGTCACGAGACTCACTGCACTTCTAACTCACCCAGTAAGTGTTAAATCTCTTGGACCAGATTTCTCCTATATATCCCACACAATGATCCTGCCATTCTCAGGTGACTTTTGTGGGATCTTTGTTCTGTAAGTGCTCTTTCCTCTGGATGACAGAGCCATTAATGTACATTAAATGTTTATCAGCTAGGACTGCTGTTTCCTGAGTCATACCGGAAAACCCATCTTTCGAAATTAGTCTTCACTGACCATGGGCTATGAAGATGGACCCTTGGAAATAGACTGCAGGCCCAATGTGGTGGCTCATGTCTGTATTAGTAGCAGTTTGGGAGGCTGAGGCTGGCAGATTGCTTGAGTCCCTGAGTTTGAGACCAGCCTGGGCAACATGATGAAACCCTATCTGCTAAGAAGTCAAAAAAATCAGCTGCAGTCCCAGCAGAAGTGGGAGGATCACTTTAGCCTAGGAATTCAAGGCTGCAGTGAGTCATGATCTCATCATTGCACTCAAGCCTGGGTAACTCGAGGGAGATCCTGTCTCAAAAAAAGAAAGAAAGGAAAAGAAAAAGAAAGAAAGAAAAGAAAGAAAGAAGAAAGAAAGAAAAAAGAAACTGACTGCTATATTCCATCAAACCTCAAGTTCCAAGGCCATGGAATTCTAAGTGAACAGTGGGGACACCAAGAAGACATCCCTTTTACCCCCTTCCTCGCACCCCCAGAGTAGTTACGTACTGTGGTTTTTCACTTTGGCGGCCCTGAAGAGTGTGGTGTTATCTGCTGTAAATCTGATTGAATTATAATAATATTTTCACTTGGAGCTTTTATCTAAGAATGAGTTGACAGCAATTTCATTAAAAAATTAAAAATATATATTAATAGTAATAATGATTCTACTTATAATCAAAATATTTACCTCTTGAATCCTCAGAACCACTCAGAAGCTTCTGCGATGTTTCAGGTCTCTAAATCCTGTCAGAAATGAAACATATTGCCTTAAAGGGATGTTAAAGTAGACTTGATCATTCAGGTGATGTTGCGAATTAAAGGAAACAGAAAGAAAGTAATGTAACGGGATAACCCTCAGCCAGAAGGCCTGGCCGGTGGTGCTTTCTTTTCCTTAACCAATACCACATTGCTAAACAAGAATTCACAGGCACCACTCCCAATACAGCAACTTGGACAAGATTCCAATGGGGAGCAGGAGGTGGCCCACTTTCTACAGGCATCCACTGGAACTGGTCAACAGGATACTAAGGAATCAGACATTCCCAGGAGCAAACAACTTTCCCATTCTGACAGCAGTAATCCTGCTGACTGAATCACAGGGCTACCCACCTAGAGTGGCGAATCTGAGGGTTCCCAGACCTTCCTATTTTTTGACTCGTCCTTCCCGGTAATAAAAGTCATTGCTATGACCAAGCCCTGACCTTTGGTTATCCAAGTCCATTGTCCTCCAGTGAGCTCTGGCCATCACTAAACTCACCAATCCGTGGAGAAGAAGTAACGCTTAGGCGATGAAAAAAGTCTAAAGACGCAGATCAGAGAGCTGGCTTCTGCCGAGGGCATGTACCCACTTGCATAAGACGGCTGAGGGTGGCTGCTGGACCTGGCACAAAGCCTTCCTGGTGTCGGTCCTCCTGCAAGGCCTGCCGGGATGGGTGGCTGCACTCCTCCAGCACCGGACGCTTTGGTGGCCAAGCTACTTTTCCTTCAGCTCAAAGCAGCTGGGTTCACTCCACTCCCGAAACCCTTGATTAGATTTCCACAGGCCTAATGAGGGAGGGAAAAAGGGAAACATCTGAAAGATGATGGATAAGAGGCACAACCTGGGGTTGATAGGGACACGGGGGGAGAAATAGGGCAATGTCACAGACAGAGGTTGGAAAAGTTTAAAAGACGCCATTGGCCAATGGAAAGTTCAACACATGTGAGACTCCGAATCATTCCTCAACTGCTGTCCCCCACTTGTGCCAAAAAGTCTCTCGGAGGGTGCCAGGCAGGGCACGGGAAGGGTTCGGCTGCCGGAGAGTCCAGCTGTCCGCTTGAACGTCAGTCCTGGCCCAGGGCTGAGGGGTCAGCAGAGAGCGACCCGCCGCGGGTGAAACGCCGAGCTGGGGTTCTGGACCCCGGTGCGCCGCCTGGGACTGCTTCGGGGCTGGAGATCCCCCGGGGCCGCCCGCCACCCCGCACCGCCGCGCCCCGGGTCCCCATCGTGCCTGGGAAGGGCCCGGGAGCGGCTCCGCCCCGGCCTGGAAGCCAGGTCAACGCGGCTAGGGCCCAGGGCCGCCTGCGCTCCCCTGCAGTCGCCGGGAAGGGGCCGGGCGCCCGGGGCCTGGGAGGGTCGGGATCAGCTTCCGACGGCCGCCTCCCGGCCCGCAGGGGATGAGAAGGCGCGGGCGGAGAGCTTGCGCAGGCTACAGCCCTCCGGGAAGCCGCGCCGGGAGCCTGCACAGCCCGGGGCGAGAGCGGCGCAGAGCGCGGCCGCGGCTTGGAGGCGAGCGGCGGAAGGAAGGCTCCGCAGATTGAGGGCGAGTCCCACCTGGAGCCGGCGCAGCCGTGACTACCGAGCAGGAGGCGAGGAGACGGCGGCTGTTCCAGAGGAGGGAGTCGTCATAACCGGCTACTGCCGCTCACCGGAAACCTTCGGCGCTGGAGCTGGGCCAGGGGGCGCCAAGGAGCAGCTGGGACACCTTGGCCCGCCGGCGCCGGGGGCGGGCTCCGGTCCCGCAGAGGCAGGACCGGGGCGACACCCCGGAGGGCCAGGGCGCGGGGCGTGGCCTCCACCCGGCAAGCGCGGCAGGGAGGGGCTCAGAGTGGGGGAACCTTCTGCTCTTCCTGGCGCTCTCCCGCGAAGGTTCGCGCGAGTCCGCCAGCTCCCTCACCAGGGCAGGAAAGACCCGCGGCGCCGGCCGAAGCCGGACACCCAGTCCAGCGCAGCAGCCCGCGCCTCCTGGAGCGCGAGGTTAAAGCGCTCAGAGGACGTTAGGACGGGGTGACTAGAAAACCTGACCCTGTTCGTCTCTTCTGCGTTGCACTGAGGCGGATTTTTACTGTTGTCTTTCAGGCAGAAGTTGCCGCCCTAACTTCCAAATTTGGGAACTAAACATAGTTCACCGAATACACTTTGTGGTGGTGAGGATACTTTGGAGTCTACACACATTTTAAAAGCTGTATAGTTTACACATCTGTAAACTCATCAAGTTCAGATACTGTGGAGTTTAATTTTTGTGGTTTTGTTAATTTAGAATATTTTAATTATTACTGCTTTATAATTATTTGAACTCCCATCCCCCATTGTCTTCTTCTAAGCACCCTCAGTCCTAGTATTCCATCTAGAGCACAGTAGAGTTGATCATTAAATAGTGACTAAAGTTGAACTGATTATATGAAGGTGATGCCTTCAAAACAAACATGCTCAAATGCATCAAGTCACCGAAGTAATATGGTCATAAGGAAACAAGTTTGTTCCCAAAGGCTTACATGCTTTTTAAGTAATTTTTTTAAAGTAATGTTGTTTACGAATTGTTACAGGTTCCATTAGTGACCTGCTAGATTAGGAATATTATCTGAAATTTTTGTCAAATAATAACAGCAAAAACATATATGGTATTTGACCTGTTCCAAACATTGTTCTAAAGCACTTTACAGTATTTATTTTTTATTTATTTATTTATTTATTTATTTATTTATTTTTGAGACGGAGTTTCGCTCTTGTTACCCAGGCTGGAGTGCAATGGCGCGATCTCGGCTCACCGCAACCTCCGTCTCCTGGGTTCAGGCAATTCTCCTGCCTCAGCTTCCTGAGTAGCTGGGATTACAGGCACGCGCCACCATGCCCAGCTAACTTTTTGTATTTTTAGTAGAGACGGGGTTTCACCATGTTGACCAGGATGGTCTCGATCTCTTGACCTCGTGATCCACCCGCCTCGGCCTCCCAAAGTGCTGGGATTACAGGCTTGAGCCACCGCGCCCGGCCAGTATTTATTTTTTTATATATATAAAAAAGAATTTGCCTCTAAGGGAACTGTCAGATGCATGTGAACCAGAGCAACTCCATCTTAAATAGGAGCTGGGTAAAATGAGGCTGAAAACTTACTGGGCTGCATTCCCAGACCGTTAAGGCATTGTAAGTCATGGGATGAGATAGGAGATTGGCACAAGATACAGGTCATAAAGACCTTGCTGATAAAACAGGTTGCAGTAAAGCAGACAGCCAAAACCCACCAAAACCAAGATGGCCATGAAAGTGACCTCTGGAACTCCTTACAATTACACTACCCTCAGCACCATGACAGTTTACAAATGCCATGGCAACATCAGAAAGTTACTCTATATGGTCTAAAAAGGGAAGGCATAAGTAATCCATCCCTTGTTTAGCATGTCATCAAGAAAGAATCATAAAAATGGACAGCCAGCAGCCCTTGGGGCACTTTGTCTATGGAGTAGCCATTCTTTTATTCCTTTACTTTCTTAATAAACTTGTTTCACTTTGCACTGCAGACTTGCCGTGAATTCTTTCTTACTGAAGATCCAAGAACCCTCTCTTGGGGTGTGGATGGGGATCCCTTTCCTGTAACGGAATTGCTGCTCTATTATTACTTTGCATCCTTCACCCATCCCACACTAATAAGGACGGTAAGGATGGTAATTTTTTTCAATGCTTCCTCCAGCTAGGCACTGTGGCCCATGCCAGTAGTCCCAGCTACTCAGGAGGATCGCTTGAGCCCAGGGAGGTCAAGGCTGCAGTGAGCCATGATTGAGACACTGCGCTCTAGTCTGGACCAGAGTGAGACCCTGTCTCAAAAAAAGAAAAGCTTCCTCAGCCTACTTGCTACCATCCTATTTTTTTCACATACAAAAAGGTTCAAATTAGTATGACATCTACATGGTACTATTATTTTTTGTAGACAGGTTCTTGCTATGTTGCTAGCACTGGTTTCCAACTCCTGCATCAAGTGATCTTCCAGCCTCGACCTCCGAAAATGCTGGGATTACAGATGTGAGCCACCACGCCTGGCTACATGGTGCTGCTATTTTAAACAGCTACATATTGAATGGTCATTCAGACTTACAGGGAACAGATATGATAAACTTGAACATGAGATTGAGTCTAACTGAAATAGAATTTCTCTCCAAACTATCAATGTTATTTTCTTCAAGTTGACATAAAACTTGAGTGTCTACCAATAGAAGGTTGGTTGAATAAACTATGGTTTATCCATACATTGTAAAGCTATGCAGGCATAAAAAGGAATTGAGAAATATCTCTATACATCACAGGATATTTACTGAGTGGGAAAATGATATGTAATATGTAAAATACCATTTTTCTAAGAGGAATATGTATTATACATGTATACACACATATATTTACTGATTGTTATTTTACAAAAAGAATAACATTTAAAATGACTATATGGGGAAGGAGGGAAGAGAAGGGGCATAAGGAACAAAGAAGACATGACTTTATTTTTTGTTTTTTGGATTTGTATGTGTGTGTGTGTGAGAGAGAGAGAGAGAGAGAGAGACTCACTATTGCCCAGGCTGGAGTACAATGGTACAATCTCAGATCACTGCAACCTCAGCCTCTTGGGTTCAGGCAATTCTCCTGCCTCAGCCTCCTGAGTAGCTGGGATTACAGGCACGCACCACCACGCCCAGCTAATTTTTTGTAGTTTTTTAGTAGAGGCGGGGTTTCACCATGTTGACCAGGATGGTCTCGATCTCTTGACCTCGTGATCCACCCACCTCGGCCTCCCAAAGTGCTGGGATTACAGGCTTGAGCCACCGCGCCCGGCCAATATATGACATTATAAAGCAAAATTAAATTTTTAAAAAGCAGTCTTTGATAGTAAAATGAAACTAAATGAACCTAAATGTTTTCCAATTTGGCATATCACCCAGAGGAGCTATCCCAATTGACTTTAAAACTTAATTTATATATGCTTAGCAGGATGTATTCTCAGGACTAAAATAATTACAGAAAACTCTGTAGACTGCATTCCATAACAAAATTGTTGGTGGCACTGTTGGTTTTGTGGGATACGCCAAGTTGAAGTAAGTATGATGGTAACTCTGAAGCTGAAATTTTTGACAGGAGATAGAGAGGAAAGCTTGATCAAACTATATAGATGTCCTGTAGCTCTGATTTTCAGTTAGAGGCCTCAGTATGATTAATAATATGGTTAATTTTTAAAAACAAGTCTCTCCTACATGCTCCATTGAAAAGGCCTGGAGACAAGCTACCCAGTAGGAAGAAGCACCCCTTTGTGCTCAAACTGTGATCTCTACAAACCATTTCCCATTAAAAGACTCCCTGGAACAACGGATGATCTTGGGTCTGAACCAGTAGCCTGCAACATCTTACATCAGGATGCAGCGAAGCAATCAAAAGGCTATTAGGGTCATATCAAAAGGACTCAGGAACCACCTTGAAAACCTTCCTACTGGCCAAAGATAGGATAATTTAAAACATCAATATAGATAACTGTAATGGGATGAAGCACAGATATATTAAAATAATTATATCGGATACAACCAATCAACCAAACATGCAAACCAAAAAGGTATCACTGTTCATTTTCAATAATAGAAGGAAACCAACTCTTATTCTGAAAACTGGTAAACAAAGGGAATCAGGCACACTGTCTTTCCTATATGAAATATGATGCAAGTAATGAAATTACTGAAGTAAGCTTTTTATAGAAACATTCCAGCTACTAAGTGAAAAAAAAGTGACAAGTAATATCACTCCGCAAGCTCTATGAACTAATAGATTCAAGAAGTGTTCATTGATGATTTTGATATCACTATTGAGAAACCTTCAGACATTATGTGTCTCCTGCTGGAAGAATACACTTCCACCTAATAAAGTATATTTGTTGAAAAATTATTGCCTTTAGATCTAAACACAGGAGGCAGAACACAATCAACATCTAGATGGAGGGAAACTATAGGACAAATGACATAGTTTTTTTCTACAAATAAGAAATCTCATAGAAATTCCAAGACTTAAGAAAAAGAGAGACAGAGATGGAAGAATGCATAGCTTTAAAAAATTGAGACAAATCCAACAAACTACAATGAGTAAACCTGATTTTGTTTTTTTGTTTTGTTTTGTTTTGAGACAGAGTCTCACTCTGTCACCCAGGCTGTAGTGCAGTGGTGTAATCACAGCTCACTGCAACCTCCACTTCCCAGGTTCAAGCGATTCTCCCGCCTCAGCCTCCTGAGTAGCTGGGACTACAGGAGCGTGCCACCACACCCAGCTAATTTATTTTCATTTTTAATAGAGACGGGATTTCGCCATGTTGGCCAGCCTGGTCTCAAACTCCTGACCTCAGGTGATCTGCCTGCCTCGGCCTCCCAAAGTGCTGGGATTACAGGCGTGAGCCACTGCACCCGGCTGATTTCGTTCTTGATTCAAACATATTAACTTTAAAAAACAATTTAAGGCCGGGCGTGGTGGCTCACGCCTTTAATCCCAGCACTTTGGGAGGCCGAGGCGGGTGGATCACGAGGTCAAGAGATCGAGACCATCCTGGTCAACATGGTGAAACCCCGTCTCTACTAAAACTACAAAAAATTAGCTGGGCATGGTGGCACGTGCCTGTAATCCCAGCTACTCGGGAGGCTGAGGCAG